TAATCCTCCATGTCTCTTCTTTTAATAAAAGTTAATATCCTTATGAAATTATGAATTTTAAATATTATATAGACATTATATATTTGACATAAATTATAGTTTTATCTATATAATCAATAATTTTTCCTTTTTCTTTTCTTGAAATTGGAATAAAAATTGAATCATGAAAAAAATTACGTTTAATAAGATTTCTAACTAAATAATTAATTAGTATTAAAAAATATATAGAAAATATAGAAAATTTACATTTTTTATCTTTGTTAATTAGTTTGATTTTAGTTAATTATATTTTTTTATACTAAATATAGAAAATTTTTAATTTTAATTTTAAATTTTTAGAAGTTGAGTCAATTCGATCAAATCCAAGACTTATGTTGGTGGGTTATGAATCTACCTCTTTAACTCAATATAAGAAATGATTCAATCTTAAAAACCCGAGATTTAAGATGACTTAATCCAAACTCACCCAATCCGACCTTATTTGCAAAGTCTAAATTTTACTCTCTATCCTAAAATATTTCACTTTAGCTTTCTCAAAAATTAAGAAATTTTAAATAATTTATTTTTTTCTTTATCACCCTTAATAAAGAAATAAGAATAAATAGAAGATTTTAGTTAAATAATTCATGTTTTTTCATTTATAACTTATCTTTTTTTTTAAATTTAAATATAATAGTTATAATATAATATTTTAATTATTATACAAAAAAAATATTATGGATCGTACAAAATTTTAATGCACTTATGATAAATTTATTATGACTTAGTTTAACAACGCTGCTTGTAGTATTTTTCACAAATATTTACAAAATTTTTGTAACTTTTGCCATTGGAAAATTATCCATCCTTACTTTTTCAAAAATGAATACAAAACTCATATTATTCAAAATTAATAGAATTCTTAAATAATTTAAGAAAATTTATAATCCAGTACTTCGGGGCTTACTAGCCCCTCCTTATAAGACGTACTTAAGACTACCAAAACATGGGTTCTAATCCAAGGTCCCCTTTCCCCTTTTCCCAAAAATATTTTTTATTGTTCAAAAAAAAATTTATAATTTTTTTATACATTATAATTTTAAATAACAATGTATCTAATTGAGTAATTTTACAATAAATAATATTTTTTAAAAATATAATTATTAAATACTAAAATACTTTTTATAACCATATTACATAACATTTTTACTAATTATAATTATAAAATAGCACCAAATAGTGTTGTCAAACTAAACTTATACGCTAGAAAGTAGAAATGCGGCTGAGAGAGAGGGAAGATATAGTTTTTCTCCGTTCGCTTTCTCTTAATTGGATAAATAACTGAATTAAAATATATACAGTAAAAATACTTTTTCCTCTCTCCTTCCCTTTCTTTCTTTCTTTTTTTTTTTTTTGATAATTTTTTTCATTTCTCTTAATCTAAATATATTATTAATTAAAATATTTTCACTTATATAAAATTTAAAATTAAATTTTCACAAAGTAAACGTCAAAAATTTAATGAAATTATGGCACTATTAAGTAATTTTCTCAAAAAAAAAAATCTAATATCATTATCCGAAAAAGTACTCCAATACGTAAAATTTTTTTATGTGCCACTACGCGATTTTTTTTTTTTTTTTTGAGAATATGAAAAAATTAGGGGCAGCGGAAATTTTTTCAATTACGAAGTAGAACTCTTGAAAACCCAAGCTCTTAGATTTGCCGGTCAACCCTCGGGTCCATTGGACTGGTTCTTAATAATATATGTGAAAAATAATACTCACCGTCAGATGAAGAGAATTTGACCGTTCATTATCTCAGCAACCCTACCCACCTTTTTTTCCCACTATAAATACGTACTCACGCAGCACCGGCCGTCTCCATCACTGCTTCTCTGTTCTTTCATGTCTTCTTTCGTTTTTAACCTAATAAAATTGTCTTCTTGACAAGGTCCTTTTATTTTTATTTTCAATTTTGTTAGGTATTGAATTTGAAGCCCTTTTCAATGCTATTGTCATCATCTTGTGATCTTCAAATTTGACTTTATTTTCATCTGTGATGTGAACAGCATCAAACAGATCAATAGAAAAATAATCGAGCCAGTTACTATCCTCCTTTCAACCAGAATGATATGATTCATATTTTGTTATGGAAATTTTAGTTTTTAGCTTCTTTTTTTTTTTCACTTTTTCATAAAATTTCCTAAAAGCGATTTCTTATTTAGAACTAGTACTATTTATCAAGATTTGGAGTGGGAGTTTTATTTTTATTTTTATTTTTTTCATTTTTTCCCTACTTCCTATAAGCATAGAAAGTCACTAAATATGTACTTTTTTTCATGCGTGATTCACATTCATAATGCAAAATCACGGTAAGTAAATGCATCTGTTTTTAGAGAAGTTTACATCACAGATGAGAATAAAGTTAAATTTGCAAAAGGTTAGGTAAAGAATTTTGTGGAGGCTGTATTATTTGGATATGTAATCTTTGGGTACGTGGAGTCTCAAATTTTTGTATGTTTTGCCACAATCATAGGTATGTTTGATTTGATTATCTTTTGTTTGAAAGCTTTTTCTTTGGTTCATCCTTCCTACATGGATAACTTGATTGGTTTCTACTATGTTATAATTATAACTTATATACAGAGGCTTTCTGCTACAATCCGTCAATGAGGGATAAATTTACGACATCATCAGTTGGGATAGATGCACCTTTTAAAAGGGGACTACCAAATCTCATGAATAGCCGCAATTGTTTTATAAACCCCAGGTCAGTTTTACTTTATTTTGAATTTTAATGTATTTAATTGATCCAGATGAGTTGATAGGAGCTAAGAAGAATAATTAGCTGAACAGAGTGAGGTTTTTATTGGAAATGCCATAATGGATGAAGGTCCTGAAGGGAATATTAAGAAAAGAAAAAGAACAATTTTTAATCGTTAGGTGTTATGAATAGAATCCTCTAGGGGAAGCTCAGCTCTCTGTGTTGTTAATGAAGATTTGGCCAAACTTCCATTTTACCCTTGCATATTGACATATTTGCGACAAAATAACCATGGAAGGCATTTTTTTAAACAATTTCATATCTCATTGCATGAAAAAGCCCAACTTCTCTGGTAAAACTCAAATCTGAAGCTTGAAAGCAGTGTCAATGGAAAATATGAAAAACCCTTTAGGAAGAAAGGATTCAAAGGAATGAAGAGTAAAAGTGTTTAAAGGGTTCAGAAAGTGATGAAGAAAAATTATGAAATAGAGGGAATTCTGGGGAAGAGGTGATGATGGTGGTCGTAAAACTGCAAACGCCTCCAGTTTTGGGATGGATAGGGAATGCTCTAATGATGGTGCAGTGCGAATGTATTCACTATTTGATATCTGATGAAAAATCCAAACTGACCTCAATCCAAGGTTAATCCAAACTGACCTCAATCCAAGGTATATTTTGTCTAACCTTAGAGATTCATCTAATTAGTGTTTTGTTGATCTGACATCTAAGTAACCGTTGACTTCCCTTGATATTTTAGGTGAAGAAGATATTCTCAAGGTTAGCGATTATAAATTTGTTCTATTAATCTATTTGGGTTCTTATTTCCCGTTATGGTTTTGATAATTTCTATTCATGATATATCAAAATTTCCTTGAAATTCTTCAAGACAAGTGAAATGGGGAATAAGATTTGTTACTCTATGTTTTTGACAACATCTATTCATGATGTTTATCAAAATTTTCTTGAAAATTAGTAGTACAAATTTTAGAACTTGTTACCATCTCTGCCTTTACTCTTTATGTTTACAGATGAAATGAAGATGGGGAAGAAGATTTGAGATTTAGAAATTTCACCATATTTTTAAAATTTTTTAGCTCTTACATTGTGCTTTCCATGCCTAGGGATGACTAGGGGGTGGCAAGAGGGAGAATAATATTGTTCCTGGCTTCAGCTCCCTCTAACTTCTGGGGCACAAGTCCTTGTGGGAATTTTGGTGGGGCAAATTCTCCTACTGTTCCTAACCATTTGGATGATGGGGATCTCTTCTTTATCAAATACTTAAATCAAATACAATATTTTAATAAAGTCAAGAAAAATTACTATTATATATAAAAAATTTTAGCTACTAACATTTAAATTATTATTACATATGAAAAAAATTAATAACTAGATTACTTGTACAAGAAGTTAGTAAAGAGCAATCAATTATTTAGGTTCTGTTTGATACAGTTGGGATTTTTGGTTTTTATAAAATTTTCGATTTTAAATAAAAAACTTGTTTAGCTACATGTGTTTTTGCAACATATTATTGTGATTATGAAAGTACTATAATTACAATGAACATGCTCTTTTCATTGAGAGATTTACTCATGATATTATTTGCATCAACTTGTTTAGTGTCATGCAATATTCATTTAATGCCATATAGGATTGTAAACTTACAATTCTAAGTGGTATGGCAACTAAAGCATTGTTGTTGTAGTTATTAGAGAAATGAGAACAAAAAGTTTAATATATTAAAAAAGTTTATAGTTTTAGATATTAGAGTTAAAATTTGTTTTAATCAAATTATTAGTTTTTTATTGTTAGTTTTGGCTTTCACTAGTTTGACAATTTATAAGAACTAAAAACTACAACCATACTAAATGGAGCTTTAATTATAACACATTTTCTTTACTTTTTGAAGAATAAGGTTTTTTTAAGGAGAATCATTTTTAATTTTTTTAATGGGAAAAATAACTCATACTAGCGCCACCAGGAAGAATATTTTTCTCCGCCTAGCCCTATGGGGATCCCTAGGAGTACCCACGGGGATCGGGCATTTTTGCCATCCCTATCCACAACCAAAGCAAATGATGGTAAAGTTTGTTGCATATACAATTTATGCATTTCATTGTAAGTATTGTAGGACAACAATGATTGGTCTAAGGTACATGTCTAAACTTTTGTTTTGAATTGTGTGTGAAGTTATATTGTTTAAAGCAAGATGATAAACTTCGATATTTGCTGGACAGAAGCAACTGTCGATGGGGAGGTATGGTTCAATATGTTGGTTATAACTTTGACATGGGGTACTGACCTTCCCCTTGCATCTATTTTTATCATTCTTGTGAAGCATGTTGTTCTTGCTCATTTTCATTTTACGGTTTTCTTCATGAAGATTGTTCTACACATTACTAAAACCAGATCCTGTTTTGAAAAGTCTATTCAGAAAGTTGTGAGAACCTTTTCCTTGTCATGGATGGCCTTATCCGATCAATATAACATTCACCCATGATGTTCTTCTGGCTTGCTTACAAATTTTCACTAATGCTGATAGAGTCCATGCTGGAAGGGTGCTAACTACTAAGCAGAATGGGTGCTTTAAAAGATGCTTTCAGACTCTTAATACCACTACCAATGTGAATGGAAAAGAGAATGAATTGGATTTAACAATTGGATATGACTTTAGATCTTTGTTCAGGATTTTTTTTTTTCTTTCTTTTATTTTGTTATGTAATTAATAATATAATATTGATGCAGACAATATTATAGGCAAGTTTTTAAATAAAGAGTTACTAGTATGTCATGATTGTAAATTAATTGTAAGTTTATAATTTTACGTAACATTGTAATTATTATTTTTGTTTAAACAATAGAGGTTATAGAAGTATAGAACTGTCTTTATAACATTTAAAAAAAAAAAAGGAACTTTTTGGCTGTTTGTTTTAGACTTACAACACGATTAAAATATGGTACACCAAAAAAAAAAAAAGAAGTATGGACAATTGGTTGATTTTCATGTCATGTAGTTTGTTGTCTTGTTACTTCCAAGATGTTTGTCTGAGGTTGTGAATTTGTATGGATCTTAAATGCAAGATCTGAGGAGCGGTGTGTGTTTTCTTGCAATGCTGAGAAACTTTTGATGATTTACTTGAATGATTTGTGTTATATATATTAAGTATTTTCCAATAAGATAATATTATATATTATATATTATGCATTACTTTTTAGGGAGCATGCATGTGGGGGTATGGTACTTAAGGCATGTGGCAATGTCAAAAACAAGAAAGAGAAAATATGAGATAGAAAAGGTGTGGTTGAAAACGGTTTAGAAATTGTATCATTAGTTCTCTGAAAAATCTTCAAGAAATGGACAGAAGCAATCGTTTCAAACGGTGCAGAGATGTTTTTAAAGATTCTAGTAGAAACATCAGATACAGAAAAATTAAAATCATTTGAAGAGTTGTATCTGTTCTAAACTTGTATAAAAGGCACCCATTTGAGTTTATACATAAATAAAATAACCCCATAAACAGTGCTTCTTCTTGTTGGTACTTTTAACTTTTCGTTGCTTTCTTCCTTGAATTCCTACACTTTGCCTTCAAGTTTCAGTGTAATGGTTTGGGTATTAGTGTTCTTTGAGTGGGCATTGTATCTTGGGGGATAACATTTCCTGTGGAAAGGCGGAAACAATTATCCTTAAGAAAGATTCCTAAAGCTGTCTTGCTCACAACCTTTGCATCTACAACTCCCTGCATACAACATTGTGAGCTTCGGTACCTCCCTGTTTTTGTTTGTTCTCTGTTCCTAAAGAAGGAAGTTAAAATAAATTACATATGCACCTCAAAATGCATGATTTTCCACTGGCTTCTAGATTATAGTATGCTTGTCATTTTTTATACTAAATTATGTTGTCACAATGTTTTAGAGTGTGTACTTTATTGAGTATGTTCTTATGTTTGAGTTTTCGCCTTCTGGGTAGTTACAGAAAATATATCTAGAAAGGTATGGATGAATGAATCTTGTGGAGGCCAACGTAGTTAAGCATTTTTGTTGGGAGTTTTGTAATACAGAATGCTATAGATGAGCATGGATATATCGACCCATATGAAGGATTGTTTGAACAACAAATGCAGGCGGTAGGCTTTCCTAGCAAGACTGGTAAGCAGCCGTCTAATGGATTTTAATTTTCCAGAAATCCTTGGGTCATGTTTGGTTGAATGAATTGATATTTTTTGGTTAATCAGTCCATGCATTAACCATTTTGAGACACTTTGTTAGGGTCATTGGCCATATCATTTTTAACTCTTAATCCTAATCTTATATCTTGTAAAATCAGAAAGAAATAAGTGAAAAACAAGTAGAAGGAATTAGAGAGGTAGAAGGAATTAGAGAGGTATAAAGAGGCAATATAAAGAATTGTACTAATTTTATTCTATTTTTTTCATCATATCATTTGCAAAAATACTAGTATGATATGTAGGTTGAGTGGGTGATAGGAGTTACAAACATTAGATATACACCATTTGACAGGTTATAAGAAATTATTTAGTTCCTAAGTCATAAAGTGAGGAATTACGTGATAGCTTTTAATCACCATTGTTATTGCCTGGATGAAGTGGGAAGTGTTAAAAGGCTGGAAGGTGAAATATCCACTAAAGTGTGATTTATAATACTTGGATATTTTATCTTTTATCACACATCTTGTTGATTTGTCTCATTAAAATTTTTATTAGGAAAAATATTTAGTGAAAAAAAAAAAAATGGTGGAAGAAGAAAGAGTCCAGTTGTTCTAATACTCCTCACTAATAAAGTCCCTGAGAAGACTTTAGTAGACAACGATTTTGTAAAAAAAAAATTTAAGATTCATACCTGAACTAACCTGTTGGTCTTGAGAATTCGTTTTTGATTGTTGTATTGCATTGCTTATGTAAGGTTTTTTAAGTCTTCTACTATCTGAAAATATATAAAAACATACATTAAAATTAATAAAATTATATAAAAATTAATTAAAATTAATTAAAAACTATAAATTTTGAATTAAGTATTAGGTAAAAGGGGTTTGTGTGAAACATTATCCAACGAAGCAATCTTTTCTTGGCTCCTACATGGCATACAACTCACTAGAAGCAAAGATTTTCCCGTCGTACAAACTTGAAACCTCTCTTGTAATTTGGCTGTTTTTGATGAGCGTCTAGTTATATGTTATGGACAGCTGATATTGTAGGGGCTGAGTTCCCCAGACTAAATACTCAGTAATTATAATTATCTCATTTTACCAAAAATTAAAATTAAAAAAATAATCCCGTCTAACCTGTGGTGGCCTAGTGGCCACTCGCTCGAATAGGTGGGTTAGGACAGCATATTCTGAGTTCTAAACCCAAGACTTACTTCCCCTTCCCAAACCAATTCCCTAATGTTCAAAAATAAAAAAATAAAAAAAAAAAAAAAAATCCCACCTCTAATGTACGTAAATTGTGAACCCAAATTTATTAGCTAGCCATAATTTTTCTATATCCCTTGTAAATCAATTGTAATCTACAACAAAATCCCTAAAAGACAGTATGAAAGCAATGACAAAGCAATGATTATGGTAATATAATGTGTTAGAACTTGCTCTAAACGTGAACTTATAAGCTAAATTGTAAGATTTTTATCTGTAGTAGAAGGCGATCAAAGAATTTGTGATGTTGAGTGGCTTCCAGATTTTAGGAGCAATATGCAAAGGAGGAATAGTAGTTCTTTATTATTCACTGCTATGGCGTTAGAATCATTTTAACGGAAGAATGGTAATACAGTAATACCTGGAGAAGGATGGTAAGGTCTCTTGAGAGATTAAACACCGTTATGCTTCAGAGCTTTGGTTAATCTTGGCATGACACAGTATGCTTGATAGGATCTTCTAAGTTCAATAATGGAACCCAACTAACAAAAGGAATGAATTTTAGAAGAAGAAAAAAATGGCAAACGCAGACAGTATAAAATATCTTTATCACTAAAACAACCCTGGGTTGCTCTCTCGTGGTTGTTAAGTAAATATTAACCCTTTTTTAGAAGGAAGAGATCCTAGGTTCCACCCCAGGTCCTATCACTAAGGGCATGTTTGGTTGGCACCTTCCCTGAAATAAGAATCCACCAGCTCCAAATGCCCTAGGAAGAAGAATCAAGGGTTTAGTCCACTAAAAGATACTTTAGTCGACTAAACTCTATAGAAAACCTCTAATTGTTTTCCTCCGGATTTTTTGAAAGGAAGGAGAATCCTGGGATTCTAGGGACATTTGCTGACTAAAGGACCCTTTAGTCGACTAATGTACCAGCAGCACCTGGGCCAAGCCGTGGCTGTTTTTAGGTGACTTCCCTGATTTTGATTCTGGGATCTGCCTAAACCAAACACGCACTGAGAGTATGTCATTAAATTTTAATGTAATTTCATTCAATTATTTGATTTCATCCCTCAAAATCATTCCAGAAAATTTTGCCACACTAAATGGATTAGACAACTACAAGGCCTTAGATCAGGATTGTACTTACGATAATTAAGACTGATGTAAATCCAACTGCTAATCCTCAGTGTAAGTAATGATCAAGTGCAGTGGAAGTAGTTGCCAAAACACGCAGCAGAAGGCCCCCTGAATAAATTACACCAAGGAGAACAGCCACCAGATGAAGAAAACAAACAGAAAAGGCTTCAATGCTTCAGCTTCAAATTGAGAAACTTTAAACAGAATATTTATCCTAACAAAGTCTAAGACAGAAACATACCCCAAAAATATGTTGATGCCTGATTCTTTGTAAGGTATTCAACAGTAGCCTTCCCAGGCTTTATATTAGGTATCCTGGCGCCCATCTTATTAAAGTAATCTGCAATTTCCTGTGGCAAGTTTGCCTGAGCCAGGAGTTAATAAAAATTGGTTATAGAAGAGGAAGCAAATGATACCAAAAAATGTGATTAACACTCAGAAGCATTGTTCTGCGGACAAATGTAGCATCCTGACAGCACACATTTATGGATCAATTAAACAATGAAGATTTCCAACTTTACGGCAATTCTAAACAAAATGGTAGAACAAAATGCATGAGATGGTGGACCTAGATCATGAACCTTTTTATCAACCACATTTATGCTCTGTTTCACCACACGAGGGATCTTGCTAAGTTATATGTTTCTATCTTACAACTATATCTTTCTTAAATATTTTCCAATAGGAGGCCCAGATCTCATACATTCATGCTTTAAAAGCAAAGACAAACAAAGAATCTGGCTTACTTCTTTTTCTTCTTCTTCTTCTTCGTTCTTTTTTTTTTTTGCATTTAGGTACGCAAGCATATTCTGCAATGGCTGGAAGGAAGAGATTATTGGGAATGATTATAACAATGACAAACCAATTAGCATAAGAAGTTCTATAATTGTTAATTATAATGGTTGGATAGTTACTTACAATATCAAAGATATTGAATAGGAAGACAAAAAATGCATATATTGAATGGTAAACCCATGGCTCTGCCACCAAAAGAAGTTTCAGGGCTCAATATCTGCTTGACATGTTTCCAGAAAGGAGAATCAAGTATACTGCAAGGAATGCTCTATATTAGACAGTAACAGTAGTTATTCATAAAAACAGAATCACCATGTTTCAATGATTTATTTAGACTCTGGAGAGCTGAAATGGGCAGTGAACAAAGGTTTTTATGGATTCATCTTGATTTGAAAACAAATATGTAAATCAGTTGCAGGTGCAATTAAATTACCTTGCAAGAATATACTTGGAAATGCCAAGCGATAAGTGGTGGTGAGTACAGGCTGCATTCCTGATGGATTAATATTAAAAGATATATAGGGCTCCACTTCAGTAATGGGAGAATCATCTGTGTCCACAACAAAAATGAACAGAAATTGACCATCAACAAGGTCATCATACAAGCACCAAATTAGCTAATAAATAAGCGGAAAAAGCAGTCACATTTGAGAGAAAATAATTGCACTATATGATTTTTCTACGTCCAGTATGAATCATTGGTCAGGGTATGGCAATTTCTACTCTCCTAAAGAAACCATAGGACCACCTCCATAGTCAAAATCACAGAAAGTTTTTCTGCATCATATTTCACTAATTCACTTGAGTGAAATTGAGCCCACAATCTCTTGCTGCTTAAGGCAGCAACACAATATAGTTTTACCTTGCACACTACACAAGTTTAAATCCATAGTACTGCAGCTTTATTTTTCTGGTGCTCTCAGTTACAACAGCTGCCCACATGGTGACTACAGTAAAAACACTCTTAACACCAGAAGCATGTAAGGCCACCAACTCTGATGCAGGGTGTAGAACAAACAGAAACTAGGAACTCTGTAAAATTAAAGATGGAACCAATAAAACTTAGGTTTGCAACCTCAAGTTTATTCTCAAAATAAAGTCTGATAACAAAACTGCTTTTGAGGTCTAATAAGAATGACTATATATACTAACAATAGCCAAGAATCCTAATTCAATTCTAATTTGAACTTCTAATAAGCTACTAGTTCTAATCCTAATTAAAAGTCACATGCTATCCACATGACTTTCCTAAAATTAAAACTTAGACTTCAAATAAAACTCAAACGAAAACAAATAATTAAAAAAAAAAACTTTATACTCTTGCATCATTCTCCTGGGGTTCAAAATCAAGCTAGGTTCAAACAGAAAGCCTTGTCAGCTTCAGTATATATATCGGGATCAATCTTTCTTAACTCTTCCTCTGCAATCCAAGTACTCTCACATGTAGGTTTACCTAACCATTTCACCAAAAATCACCTGTATGAATTGCCTCTTCTAGACTTCACTTCCTTAACATCAAGCACTTCTTGCATAAGATCCTACTGTACTCCTGGTATTTGCTTGGCTTGATTCATAATTGACTCAAATGCATGTAGATCAGAAATATTAAAGATGGGACTGATTTGTAAATCAGATGGCAGTTCAATTAAATAAGCATTTGAACTAATTTTCCTCAATACCTTGCAGGGTCTAAATTTCCTTGATTTCAGTTTGTGACAAGTCCTCTTTGGAAATCTTTCTTTCCTTAAATGAACTAATACTAAATCACCTTCCTCAAACTCTTGGGCTTTTTGATGCTGGTTAGCAGCACGGGCATAAGCTTCATTGCTATCCTTCAAAGCAGCTCTAATTTCCTCATGAACTTGTTTAACATGCTTAGCAAAAGCCTCTCCTTCATCACTAAATCAAGCCTCTTGTGGTAATGGTACCCAATCAACAACATGTTGAGGTTTCAATCCATAAGCTGCCTCAAAGGGTTTTTTTTTTTTTGGTTCTCTTGACTGAGCTGTTGTAGGCAAACTCAGCTCATAGAAGGATGAAGTCGCAATTCTTAACATATTTTCCAACAAGACATTAGCAAATTCTCTAAGCTTTGGTTGACTACTTCTGTTTGGCCATCTGTTTGTGGATGGCAAGTGCTTGAATATCTTAGCTCAGTTTGAAATTTCTTCTATAAAGTCCTCCAAAAATGCCCTATAAACTTAACATCTTAGTCAGAAACAATAGATGAGTGGATACCATGAAGCCTCACCACCTCCTTAGAAAATAAATCAGCAATATGTGTGGCATTTGAGGTCTTAGAACAAGGAATGAAGTGTGCCATTTTTGAGTATCGATCCACAACTGCAACAATAGAATCATACCCTTTTGCTGTCTTTGGAAGACCCAATACAAAATCCATGCTTAAATGGATCCATGGTGCTTCAGGTTCTGATAAAGGAGAATATAAGCTAGTATTTTGTGAGCTTCCTTTGCCAAATTGACAAACTGAACATCTCCTAACAATTTTGTTCCACATCTTTAATCTTTATACATATTTGGCCAATCATATCGGTCAGTTACCAATGTTTTATCTCTGCCAAAATGTCCCCCTAAGCCATTGCCATGAACTTCGCTGATGATCTGTTCCCTTAAAGATCCCTCTGGGATGCACGATTGGTTGCCTTTAAATAAATAGCCATCATGCAACCTAAATGGTAATTTGTTAGCGCAATCTGTTCCCATTACTTCCTCAACAATATGACTGACATATGAATCAACTTTGCACTGATTTTTCAGTTCTTCAAATCCTAAAACCTGAGTGGCCAACACTGTTAGAAGTAAAGTTCTCCTATTTAATGCATCTACTACTAAGTTTGATGTTCCACTTTTATGCTTCAATGAGAAGTTGAATTCAGAAAGAAAAAGAACTCCATCAAGCATGTCAGCCATTGAGTTTCTTTTGAGAATTCAAGTACCGCAAGGCTTGGTGATCTGAGTACACCACAAACTCTTTATAAGCCAAATAATGCTGCCAATGATGTATGGTACATACCAAGGCAGAAAATTCCAGGTCATAGGTAGAATATCTCCATTTAGAATCTGTTAATTTTTCATTAAAAAACTCTACTGGTCTTCCCTCTTCACTAAGGACACCCCCGATCCCATCATGTGATGCATCACATCCAACTATAAACAATTTTCCAAAGTCTGGTAATGCAAGAACAGGTGCTTCTGTCATCAGATTTTTAATTTGTTCAAAGGCTGTCTGGGCAGATTTTGCCCATTCAAAATTGTCTTTCTTCAAACATTCCATTACAGGATTCATAATAGAGCTAAAGTTCCGTGTGAACTTCCTGTAAAATGAAGCTAACCCATGAAAGTTTCGAATTTCTCTAAGTGATTGAGTTGCTGGCCATTCCTTTATTGCACTCACCTTTTTTGGATCATCTTTCAACCCTTCTTTAGAAATGATAAACCCCAAAAATACAACTTCAGGCTGCCCAAAAGAGCATTTTTTAAGGTTTATGAAGAGTTTCTCCCTGTTTAACACTTCTAGCACTTGTCTTACATGAGTCAAATGTTCTTCCTTGCTTGAACGATAAATCAAAATGTCATCAAAATAAACTACCACTAAAGAATTCAAAAATGATTCCAATGCATCAGTCATAGCCCTCAGAAAAGTGCTTGGTCCATTTGAAAGGCCAAAGTGCATCACTAACCACTCAGACAGACCATCAGGGGTCTTGGTGAAGCTTTCATGGGTTCCTGTTGCTGTATAGCTTGCACAGCTTGCGACAAGTCCTCAATCATATGTCGCATCTCAGTTAGTTCTGCTTGTTGGCCTTTGTTTCCTCTGCCACGACCAGCCATAGCTCTGATACCAATTTGATGCAGGGTAGATAGGGGTAGAACAAACAGAAACTAAGAACTCCATAAAATTAAAGACGGAACCAATAAAACTTAGGTTTGCAACCTCAAGTTTATTCTCAAAATAACTGCTTTTGAAGTCTAATAAGAATGACTATATATGCTAACAATAGCCAAGAATCCTAATTCAACTCTAATTTGAACTTCTAATAAGCTACAAACTTCTAATAAGCTACAAGTTCTAATCCTAAATAAAAGTCACATGCTATCCACGACTTTCCTAAAATTAAAACTTAGACTTCAAATAAAGCTCAAACTAAAACAAATAATTTAAAAAAAAAACTTAATGCTCCGCACCAAACTCACAGCACTTACTGCAGTTTATAAGCATGAAATTAATAGAGTTGTTTTCTGAATGTAAGAAATAATATGACCAAAAAACTAGTAATTTAAACAAATTCACAATATTCTTGGTCTTATATTTCTCAATTTCAAGTCAAGAACAGTTATTGGAGGTTTCAGCTTTACACTGGCTGTGGACATGCTCTCCTTCTCTACCCTAAATGCATTTGCTGCAAATTCCGAGTCTGTATAGGAACACATGATATGTTATTTCTGATTTCTATCAAATTTAATTTCCTTGAATTGATTTTTTATAGATGGGACTCAGATCTATAATAATTAATTGAACTAAACAGAGCACCGCAATTTTTTTAAACATTCATGTTTTTATGCTCTCCTGCTTTCTTTGGGTAAAGCTGTGAAGAAGGTTTTACATTCTGTTTCTATGGATCATAATGTTTATCATGGCATGGTTAGTTAGGCATCATAGTTATTTGAAGAATTTCCTTCGGTGCATTGAATCTGCACTACATACCATGGAGTACAGCAGAGTCAACAGACCTTCTATTGGGGCTTCACAGAGTTATAATTATGTCATATTCCTAAGATATAAGAAAAACTTGAAACCGTTATTAAAAAAGAGGGGCAAACTTGAAACACATTGCAGAGTGTAATAAATTATTTAAACGGAAAAACTTGAAACAGGTTGCAGAGTTATAGGAAAAAAAGCATTGATTGGGACAGGCCGATCAGAATAGAATGCATGAAACTAAGATCATCTAGTCCCTAAGCCAGGTTAACCAACTACAACCATTTCCTACCTACTTCCTAAAAATCCATGATGTAGTTATAGGAACAAAGCATAGATTATTAATCGTGAGGGAAAACTCCAAACATAAACAGGAACAAAATCATCTCTTAACACGTACCCCATAGCTGAGTCAACATCTTGTGCAGTGTGTCTGTGCAGCCAGTTAATATTCCAACACATATAATAAGGGATAACCCTTGACCTGAAATATGCACATGCAGTAGAGAAAGAAGAATTATAACACACAATAAAAAATGAAAAATATGCAATTCATCACTTTTGAAATCTAATAAAAGAACCAGTCATCTCTATCCACACTCCAAAATTGACAAGAACAAGGTGCAATGCTTATGTAGATAACAATACCAAATCTAGATTCTGATATGGTATCGCAGATCCATGTAATAGCCAGTGCCCCACAAGGCCTAAAAAAAGGCTTGTCACCGGCACATGCTTAATCCTGCAAAACCAATAGAAATGACTCACAAGGCAATTCTGAGCATAGTAATATACCATGGATTTCAACAGATTATTAGATAAAGGAGAAAAAATGCATGCCCGCCAGCCCAGAAAACTTTTCTGTGTTGATTTCAAGAAGTTTAAAATAAATCCATGAAAGGCCAAATTTTAATTTCTAGCCAATTCCTTGTAAGAAAGCTAAATCAGTTAAAACATACTTTATCTATTATTCTGATTAATGGAGTACCCGTAACTCACTGCATGGATTGAGTATGGAAGAGAATGACAAGCAACTATCACTGCTTCCAATATTGCAAAGCAAAGTTAAAGCCACCATCTGATATAGAAAGGAATGTTACATGTGTTGTAACTTCCAAAATCTATTAGCAAATAATAATATGAAGTAAAAAATCAAATCAAGGATTCATCTTACTGCTTGAGATGACTAACTAGACACACATATAACTCTTAATTAATCTTCTCATGGGCATCTAAGCCTTCCTTCCACAGCTTTACAAAAGTGGAACAACATGACAGAGCACCTGTTCACCCAATTCATTAGAATCAGCAGAATATTTCTGAAATTCAACACTCAAGATCAAATATAAATTCACACACACACAAACATACAGATGTAGTTTCTGAAATTATTATAATGCGCAACTCACAAGTCTAAAGCACCAAGCAAATCCTAATAAAAAGACTGAAGAATAATCAGAGAGCAATACTATCAGTCTGTGTCTTCTACTTAAATCTGGTCCTAATACTACCCAAACGCACAGGCAAATTTCCAACCACCTTAGCCTAAAACTACAGGGTAAAAGAAGGCCTTCCTAAAAATCTGTACCATGCTTATCTCATCTGGTAGATATTATTGGCAGGATGGGAAGAGAAGAACGTGGAACAATATATTAGGTTGTGCAAAAATGTAATTAGAATAAATTTGAAACAAGTGAAAAAGAACTGCAAACCTGCATAATTATCAATGCTATTATCTGAGGACTGATTCCAAGCTGAAAAAGGGACATTTTGAGCTCCGCTGCGGAATCACCCAGTTCATCAGCTGAAAACAACATGAGTAAATATTAATGTCAATTACCTTAGGGTCCAGTTTCTTTCAAAAATTTCACACCATAGCATTAAACTCAAAAGGCACAGAAAATCCTGAAAGGTTTGAATAGAGTTGATTATATTTGCCAGAACTTTTCTAAATCAATAAAACTTACGAACAGATCCTGAGACAAAGCTAAGGTAATCTTGAGGTATCAACCTGCAATCAAACCCAGGTAGAGGAATGAAATAACCAACACGACTGATTAAGATCAGTACTGCCATCACAAATAACCTCCACCGAATCTCACGTTTAAAGAATGACTCTGCTGCATTATTAACTAGAGAACTTAAACGTACAAAGTAAGTTCAGAAACATATTTCTAAGCATTTTAGGGTGGTAGTAAGAAGTCTCAGAGATATCAACGCTTTGTGAACCAGGAATCTCTGCCCCATCAGTTGATCTCAATTGAACAACTTCACGATTTAGAGACTCCAGAGAGAAGTTTGCTCAACATTTATATAGTCACTTCTACCCTGATCAGAAGAATGAATAGACCAATATTTATTGGCTCTTGATGGCAAAGGTCCATTTAGGCAAATGATGGTTCCTTCTGGGTTCACTACATTCTTCTTGAAAGTAAGGCAGATAGAACATGGTTGATTATCAAATCAAGGATAACATGCCACACAGCCACCTGCATACCAAAATAAAGGTGAAAAAGTGATATTGCTGATATTGTTTCACAACATTGCAATCCACTTCATCCACACAAGTAACAAACAAAGCTTTTGTTTCTTGTCTCATCTTCATTCAGTCATAATGCAGCTAGTTACTTGCCTTCAATATCAACACTTCTTGATTCTTTCATCTGTAATCTGTTTATGAGTTTTCACGTCGACCTGTCAGAATACTCATGAAATTGTTTAAATACTTTAATAAATCATCTTGTTGATTCATTAAGGCATTTAATTAATTTTATAGATATTCTTGTACATTTTTTCCTTGAAAGTGGACATGAAAATCCACAACCCATACAAAATTCAAAAAAAAAAAATTCCTAGGTTTTCAATCAAGTTAAATACGCAAAATTCATAGGGCCTTTAAAAATTCATCGAAACCATCATCACTGTGAATAAACGGAAGCAGCAAAGTAACTCTATAAACTAGCATTTCAATTTCTATCGTTTTCTTCAGTGTGTCTTTACGTTTTCTAATTCAGACTAACCTGCGATTTTCAGGTGATTGAAGCGATGAGAGCTAAGAACGGATGCTCCCATTGGCGGAGTTTGAGCTCTCCACAGTACTTTCGCTATACCTACAGGTTTTTGAAGATCCTCTACTTCGTAACCTATTCTTATCATGTGTGAAATCGCTTTGTTATTGGATCTTACTCCGTGTGACGGAGCTGGTGCACCTACGTGGTAGAATCTCATTGGAACTCCAAAACCAAAAATAAATATAATGAACCTGATTGCAGTTAAGCATCAAGATCTTTATATTTTTCCTAATGGATCCCTACACTGTTAATATAAGTTTAACTTTGTCGCCATTCTATTAATTATGACAATTTGAGGCCCTGGGATTCTGATTTCAATATCTTTACAGAAGAAAAGAATGCATGACAACAAGAAATTAAATAATTTAATGATAATTTTTTTATAGTGAAAATAAGAGATTTTGAGTTTTAATTCCATGACCTACTGGAGTAAGTACATATATGAAATGTAAGAGAGTTGCTTCTTATTAATAATAATAAAAAAAAATGCATGGGCAGAATTGTTGAAAAAAAAATAAAAGCATCAAAAATAAATTTTATTTGAGATTCATGTAATACAATTCATACTATACATTAAAAAGTGCAGTATACCTTATAAATTTACTAAAATGCCCTTAAAGAAATAACATAAAAAATAATTTTATTAAGAATATTTTAATAAAATTCATAGGATAAATTACGTTTTAATATATAGTCAGCCCTATAAAACACTTTTTTGTTTTTGTTTATTCTAAGTAAATTGACATTGCAACATGGGTTTCTTATTAATTTAAAGAACTCGGTTTACTTTTATGCAGTGTTTTAAATTTAAGTTTTATAAATAGAGAAACATATGTTATAAAAAAAAAAAAAAAAAAAAAAAAAACATATTGCAAGTTGTCACAAGTTGTCAACCAAGTACTCTACTCCCATGCAACAACAAAAACCTTCTTAA